GCATAGTTTCTTCGATCGTTGATCCTTGCACGATTATATCATCAAAGAAACAGGCTACCCCATCCAATTCGTGCAGTAGTTGATCCATAAAGCGCTGCCAAATATTGGGTGCAGTCTTTACTCCGAACATTAATCTATTGACCTTGTAAACCCCTTTTTCAGTACTTATGGCTTGCAACATTGCGCTATGTTCGTCAACAGGCATGTGTAGATATGCGCGACTGACATCAAGTGTACAGAAAAATCTTCCCCCGCTCATTTTCGCAAAAATATCTTCGATCCTGGGAATGGGGTACTTGTCATCCTTCAAAAATCGATTCAATGTCACCTTCTAATCCGCACACAAACGAATGGAGTCGTCAGATTTTACAATCGGAACCACAGGTGTTCCCCATTGACTGTGAACAACCTTTTCAATCACGCCCATCGCCTCAAGTCGATCAATTTCAGCGTTCACACGATCTTTCAAGGCATACGGTACTGATCGAGCTCTCCAAAATTTTGGCGCGGTGTTCTCTAGCATTTGTAAATTGCTCTCCATCGTTGGAATTCGACCTAATTTATCATCGAAAACATCGCCGAATTCCTTCAAAACCGACTTCAACAATTCATCGGAATTTGCTTGCGTGACCGTGACCTCGTGAATTTCTAAGTCATTCAGCGGACGTTTATGAAGATCCAGGATCCTAATCCACTGTCGGCCGCAAATAGAGTCAACATCATCTCCCACAATAAATAAGCGCCCAATGGTTACTTTGTTTCCAAAACTGATCGTAATATTACATGTGCCCAGTGGCTCAATTATCTCACCAGAGTAAGTCCTCAATCGAGAAGATGTGTCGGAAATCGAGAGCCCAGGACACACCTTCAAAAAATTTCGGTAAGACATCGTCGAAACTGCTGCCCCCGTATCCAGTTCAAATTCACAATTGTTCTCTTCCACCTGGATGTTCACCATAAACTTGCCACTCCCTCCGCTTTTTACGCCGTGCATGTGAAAAATATTTCCAATCGTATACATTTCAAATTGATCGTCTTCAACGATGTCATCATTATCTTCGGATTGCGTTACTTGTCGAACTGTTTTAATGTTTCCCCCCTGCATACAAACGGTGGCAATGTGGCATACCTTCTTACACTTCGCACAAATTTTGTCTTTCATGGAACATCTAAAAGCACGGTGTCCTTCGTGGCCGCATCTGTAACATTTTCCCGTGAAGTCAAATCTTGTAGTTTCTGTCGACGATGTCGGGTTAACTTTTTGTCGGCCTCCGTACGCTTTCCATTTTCGTTGCTCCTTCACTGCATTAACAGGCTCACTATGGGTTTGCTGGCTTCTCTGGATTTCTCTGCTTTCAATTTTTGATGTGTTAATCGCTGTCGCCTCCCGTACAATTTCGTCGAACTTTGTGTCCTCTTTTAGACGCAACAACTCCTGCCGAATATCGTCGTCACGTAATCCACGAATAAATTGTGTCCGCAAATGTGTCTCGATGGTCGATTTTCCACAATCGGTACCTACATGTAAAAGAGCAATTGATGGAGAGGCGTTTCAATTCTTCAATAAACTTCATGATAGACTCTCATTCTGTATTCGCACTGCGAAGCGATGTTGCTGTGCAAATACGTTCGGCTTCGGGCTCAAATGTGTCCTCAACAAGTTAATTAATACGTCGTAGGTTTTTGCCTTTGGCTTTTCCGGAACTGTCAAATTTGTGAGCGTTTGGAATACTGACGGCGGAATAAGTTCAAGCAGCATTCCCACCTTTTCCTTATCCTCTGCGATTTCTTTTCTTTCTAAATAGTTTTCTAATCGATCGATAAAGTTTTCCATCGTTTCGTTTGTTTCATCGTAGGAGTGAAAATGTACCTTCCGTTTTGGAATTGCATTTCCTGTTCCCGTGGAATTTCTTTGCGTTTCATGTAAATCTTGTAAAACATTACAAATTCGGTCCAAAACGTTCTCGAGTTTTGATCCCATCTCCGTCGCCATTTTTATATATTCACGTTTAATGAAATAAGTTGCAAGTTGTTACTTTTTCGTTCTATTCAATTCGTAATAAAATAATTACATCTCGAAAAATTAGAGCGATGCCAACTATGCATTATACGTATCATTAATTCAGAGACATAACAGTAACAATAATGGAAAAATTTCCTCATTCCCCAATAAATCGCAGTTGCTTCGCGGTCGATCTGACTATAATTTTTCTCTGAGTTACTAAGAGATCTTGAAGCGAAAGCTATAGGTCTCTCGGTGCCATCGGGTAAGATGTGTGAAAGAACCGCTCCTAACCCTGTTGGTGAAGCGTCCGTAGCCAAAATTAAAGGTAAATTTTCGTCGAAAGGCATTAAAACTTTTGTACTCGTAATTTCAGTTTTGATCAATTTGAAGGCTCCCTCGCACTTGTTATTCCACGTGAACGGAACCTTTTTTCTCAAAAGCTGATGTAAATGGTGCAATTTTGAAGACAGATTTGGTAAAAATCTTTGGTAGTAATTGACTAACCCTAAAAAGGTGCGTAACTGCGAAACGTTTCCCGGACGTGGACTATTAGCAATAGCTTCAATCTTCTCGGTAGTTGTGTGTAGACCATCACCGTCGATTCTATGGCCTAAATATGAAATACTTGATTTAAAAAATTGACACTTCCTTCCATTGAGATGCAAGTCGAATTGGCGTAAACGCTCTAAAACTTGTCGCAATTTTGTCAATAACTCTTCGGGTGTTCCTCCCTGTATTGCGATATCGTCAAAAAAACAGACTACTCCGTCCAAATCTTGAAGAGTTTGGTCCATAAATCTTTGCCACGCATTTGAAGCTGTCTTTACGCCAAACATCAGGCGTTTTACCTTGTAAACTCCTTTTTGAGTACTGATTGCTTGTAACATGGACGTTTCCTCATCTACTGACATATGTAAATAAGCTTGGTGTATATCAAGACAACAGAAGTATTTTCCCCCTCTCATTTTGTTGAAAATATCTTCAATTTTCGGTATTGGATAGCGATCCGTCTTAATTACCTTGTT